ATATTTAAAATGAGATTATAAATAAATCTGTTGAAGATGATCTGGTTTTATTTCTTTACTATGACCATTTAATTTTTTTTTTTTCTTCTTTTTTTCTACTGGGTATATCACTGTATATTCTTTTTATTTTGTTGTAAATGGCGTTTGGTTATCTGTTGCACTCACACTAACTGCAGGCATACAGGCAGACAATATGATCTGGAGACCCCCCGAACAGACAATGGAAGGAGACCCTTGTGGTTTTAAACGTCCCTCACCTGTCTATCTCCAGTTGTGTTCCAGAAGGGGTGTTCTTCTTCGACCCGCTATCAATGGACATTCGCAGGTTCATCCGCCTCTTTCTACTGTTAGCTCTTTCTGATTTAATTTAATTCATCCTCTGGCGCAACAGCCCCTTTAAGAGGAGATCTCTTGAAATAATTGTTAGTGTCGGATATATTTTCAAGTTACTTACGAAAGTGTGTATAACACTATATCATTAGATAAAAAATAATTACGTAAAATTTACTTTTCATGGGTAATAGATAATCGGGACTTGGCCACTTTGTGGAGAGTTAATTTATAATTGTGAGCTGATGGTTGACTGTCGGAATTATTAAAGAGAAGGATGGGGGGAGGGAGGGGCAGTCAGAAATAAAAAAACAAAAATAAATAATATTTTATTAATTTAAAAGTTAAGTCCTTCGAACAATAGTCGATGCTCCTTTCTATGTAACCAACAAAAGCCTACACCATGACCTTAATATCCCATTTGTCCTAGACCTTATCCCATCAAAATTCTCCAAATTCCACCAGAACCTTACCCATCATCCAAATCCCTTTGCACAATCTCTATCCAGCACCACCCATCCATATAATCCTCCAAGGAGGTTAAAACGGCAGTGGCCCCGCGACCTTTTATAGTTTGTAAATATTGGAGTTCTGGCAATGGCCAGATTCTCCACTCACGACATGAGTGTGTGGCTTAAGCACTCTTGCTCAATCTCCACTGGGTTTAGCCCCAGTGACGCGGTTGAGAGAGAAGTGCTGGAATCTCCTGGGGCCATGCTTTTCCCTCCACACTTGTAGAGACAAGTCTGGTTTGGAGTTCCCTCACCAAATTGTAAATATTGTATATAGGTATGTATGTGTTCTTTTTATTTATTTATTTTTAGGTTATTTTATTCTTATTTATTGTATATATGTTATTTTTCTGTATAATTTATTTTATTTACTGTACATAGAGTGTGAATGTGATCTGTGAACACTATTATAAATGTCCTTGAGACAGATTGTTATATTGTTCAATAAAAAAAAAAAAAAATTTGATTTAATTTGAGTCAATTTAATTTGTATTGCCTACGTACTTCGTAAATGGCTTCATATTATCGTCTAACTTTTTTTTTCTACGAATTGGACATTTTTTCTTTAAATTATTCAATTTAACTAGACAATAAAACCTCACGAATACGTTAAATTGTATGATAATTGTAAGATGACGATTTTGTGATATAGCTTTACCCATAAAAAAAAAGTTACTTGTGCCAGTCAAACTCCTAGCTAAACACACCTTCCTAAAGAAGACCTGCTAAGTCGGGTCGAAACGTTGGCTTTTAATAAAATAGTTTTCCCACTATTTAGCCTATTTATGAACGCTTCTGACCATCTTCTTCCTTATTATTATTAATATTAATAATTCCATATTATTATAATCACAAAATCGAGAAAAAAGGTATCTGTAAAAATATTATTCCGTTTGGTCTATACCACCTCGTTAGATTAATATGTTTGGTTGAGGTTACACCAACGGCTCAATATTATTGAAGGCCACCTTTATTCTCGATTTTGTGCTCAAATTATCTTACTCCATCTTATATTATTACTCAAATATAAGCGAGAGAATAACAAGGTATTAAAAAAAAAAATGTCATCTCACATTAAATAAATACTTAAAAGTGAATTTATTTATAAGTAGATAACATTTTTTTTCTTATCTAATTGTTATTGAATGATAATTTAGAACCTCTTTTTATGAAATTATTAACATCGGTCTGAAACCTCGTGAATATTTTCAATCGGCAAACTTTTTCTATTTAATTGGGTACTAAAAATTCGTAAATATCCATTTGCTTTTCACTACGATTGTAAGATAATTTGATCACGAAATCGAAAAAAAGTGGGACCTACAAAAATATTGTGCCATTTGGCCTTATTATTTTGGGGGTTTAAGTGACGTCAAATGGTTAATATTATTGAAGGCCACCTTTATTCTCGATTTTGTGCTCAAATTATCTTACGATTGAACTGGAAAGCAAATGAGTATTTAGTACCTAATTAAATTTATTGATCTAATTAGAAAAAGTCACATTTCTGATCATTTTAGTAGATAAAACATTTGTAGATTACGATCAAATGAAGCCAATTACGAAGTTTTGGGAAGATGTTATTAATTTGATAAAAAGGGATCTGTTCCATGGACTATTTCTGATGATTTCATTTAAGAATGTTCAAGTTCAATCATGAAAAAAAAAAATCATAACGTTTGGTTTTTAAAGTGAAGCATGTTACAAAAAAATTCCTTTTCTCAACTTTCTGAAAATTACTGATGTCTTGTTTTGTTGTAAGGCCACTCATATATCATTGAAGTGATTGACATTATCAAAGAGTGGGGATTTATTCATCACCCAATACCAGAGTTTTATTATTAAAAAAAAAATTAAAAATAATTTTCAAAAATATTTTGTTTTGTGCCTACGTTTCGGACTAGGTTTCAGGTCTTCTTGGAGATAAGACAAGATAACCACCAACAAAATATATAAGCGAGAGAATAACAACCTTTAAAAAAAAAGACAATGTTATCATTAAATAAATACTTAAAAGTGAATTTATTTATAAGTAGATAACATTTTTTTCTTATCTAATTGTTAGGTTGTTATCTTGTCTTTCCTCAGCCCTGATAAACGCCTTAAACTTAGGACGAAACGTTGCGATAGATTTTTTTTTCACTTTGACTACAATTATATGTTGATCTATATTAAGTGATGGTCTATCTGTATGGTTAGTACTTTTATTCGACTCTTGATATGATATGAGATTAATTTAAAAAATGTATGTAAACACGATTTTTTGACTTCTTTATATATATATAATGATCACTAATTGATTAATTAGTACCTAATTAAATATACCACGTTTGCTGATATCCAGATTGAAACCTTCTTAATTCCAAGAGTTTTCGTAAATAAAATATTTGCAGCTTATATTTTTTATATAACCTTTTTTTGACGATTATTTGATCAAATTATCTTTCGATTTTAAACACAAATGAGTAAAATAAAGTAAAGATGGTTTACTAAGGTGCACTAAGAAATTGTAATTATCAAAACGTTTTTATTTTAATGAAAGTTTACCTTTTTACCTTTTGTTTATCTTCTAACATTAAAAAAAACATACATAATCATATCATTTCTCTGTTGGAATAAAATGGGGTCTGAGCACTGGTTCAAATTATACATCGAATTATCTATTAGAAAACGATTTTGTTTAATGAAGGAATGCTAAATAGAAAAAAGAAATCCATTTAAGTAAAATTATAATTATGTGTTTTTTATTTTTTTCAATTTTCTTTTGATCTGCCAATTAAATTCATGATTTTTTTTATAATCCTGTTTTCATTTATTTTAGAATAAAATATTGAATTTAAATTTTTGTTTAAAAAGAAAATGTTTATTTTAATGCTACAGTGTTTTTTTTTTGTTTTTAGTAAACTTTCTTTTATTAAAAAAAAAATCCACGTTTTTCAAAATTAAAGTTCTCATAACTATGTCAATGAAAAAGTGAAAAGTATTTCTGGAACATTTATTGGAGAACTATAGGAATTACTATAAGAAAAGTATTATTTTCAGTAGATGGAAGTTCAAGCCAAATGAATTTCCAAAAAAAAAAAAAGGGGAAATTAATATGTGTTTTTACAATTATGGGAAAACATTTAGGTATATTACTTGTATATTGGTTTTCTTTTCCTGTTATTTAGCTTTTCTATATCTAATATAGTTCCTTATTCTGAAATTTTAATCCATAGTCAGATTTTATTTTCTCCACCAGAAAAATGATTTACTGCGGTTTATATTCCAGAGTTTTTTTTTTAATAATCTCATTATTTATCCTGAAATAAAAAACATTTGGGATTTGATTATTGCAATTTTTTTGTGTTCCAGTAGGACATTTTATTGTCATATTGAGGGCTGGAATATTGTTATCTGTCTGTGATAGGCGCTGTGATACGACTTGACTGATCTCGTCTAAATTATTATTCGGCTTTACCATGACAGTGAACCGTCCCTAAGTTCTGAGCCAAAATAAACCCTTCGTAATATTTAGCCGGTTTGGTACAGACCCCTTTTTTATCAAATTATCTAAAACTGAATAAATAGTCTCACCTCATCGTAACCTACAAATATTTTATTTACGAAAATTCTCAGGAATGGGGCCATTTTCAATCTTGAGGTCGACAATTTTTATCTATTTAATTAGGTACTAAAATCTCGTGAATACCTATTTGCTTTCCACAAGGTGGACTATAAAGATATTGGTCCGTTCGCGTGACCTCCTCTCCCAAAATGTCAAATTAACGAGATTATATAGGCCAGACGACACAATATTTCTTTAGGCCACCTTTTTTTTATTTTTATTTTTTTTTTATCATATCACTTACTATTCAAGTGGAAAGAAAATGGTATTTATGAGTTTTTAGTTCCTAATTAAATAGACAAAGTTTGCCGATCTCTAGATTGAAACCGCCCCAATTCCAAGAATTTTCGTAAATAAAATATTGTTGCGATAAGATTAAGCTGTTTACTTAGTTTTAGGGGAATGTTAATAGTTTGATAAGAAGGCGCCTGTTCTACGGACTAGATATGTCGCTTCGAATATTAAGAGCACGGTTACTCCATTTTCGAAAGGTATAAGTTAAGGTCCGGTGCCTCGGAACTGTTGGGGTTTATTACCTCGTTGGTAGATAGCTAGATATGGTCGAGCTGGCCCGAGGACACGGCCCACTGAATAGCGATCGAGTTAAAGGTCCGCCGAGGCACGTGCTGGTTTCCGGCGGAAGAGCCAACGGCCCGGACAGGTGTGCTACCTGAGCCCATGCAAATCCGTGCATATCCTCCAGCTGCTGCAACAGCTGCCTCCGCGCTCTCTGTGGGCTACGATCCTAATGGCATTTGCATATGAAGGAAGTGTGTAGTTGGACAACCTTCTGAATGGGAGCAATAAGACCGTCTTATCGGCTCTCTATTGACTACTGTCTCTATTAACTTTACTACCGATTCATAGGAAGGGATCGGGAGCTCTTGTATACAACTTTATTAAGTGGCCTTCCGGTTACGAACCTTCGGTAAAAACTTAGACGCCTAAGGAGAAAATAATATCATTGTATTATTCTTAATGGACTTGGTCCCATAATTTTTTGTTTATTTAGAAATATTACATTCTGTCACAATCTAGGGCATTTATAATAGTGCTCAGAGAGCACACTCACACTCTATCTACAATAAATAAAAATAAATAATATAACTACAAATAATTAAAATAAATATATATAAACAAAAGACCTAATCTAATCAAAATAATAACTAAAACACATGCACACTATACAATATTTACAGAATCCATTCACTCAGGAGAACTCCGAGCCAAGCCTTTCACCCCACTCGTGGAAGGAAAGGCAGGACTCTTGGAGATCCCAGCGCCTCGCTTATTAAGAACCAGTAGAGGCGCTATAATCACACATACTTGGCTTGAGTGGAGGATCTGGCCATTGCCAAAACTCCAATATAAGCTTATTCACAGAAGGTCTCTGGGCCACTGACGCTTCAATCTTCGAGGAGGGTTGTAAGGATGGGTTGTACTGGATAGAGATTGTGCAAGGGGATTTGGGTGATAGGTAAGGTTCTGGTGAAATTTGGAGAATTTTTCGGGGGTAAGGTCTAGAACAAATGGGATATTGAGGTCATGGTGTAGGGTTTTGTTAGTTACTATTGTTCGAAGGACTTTAGGTTGAAAGGATTGAATACGTCTGATGTTAGTAAATTTTGCTGTCTCCGACAGTTCAAGTCCGTATTTCCATATAGGTTTCAGGATTGTCTTGTAGATAAGTAATTTGTTCTCAATAGAAAGTTTAGATTTTCTGTTTAGTAGTCTGTATAGCTGGCCGTATCGTCGGTTGAGTTCTTGTCTCTTCATGTTAGTCTTCGGTCTAAATGAAAGCCAAGATACCGGACTGTGTCGTCCCATAATAAAGTTATATTTCTATTTCTATAAAATTAAATACTTATTTATTAATATTTTATTTTTATTTATTTTTTTTTTTTGTCTTTATTATTCAACTCACACCTGTTGGGATGCCAACAACCTGCGAGTGTGCTCTCGGGAAGAAGAGTATGGAGCTGGAGTAAGACATTGGTGGACGTGAGGGTGAGGAGTGCCCCGCGGCCTCTCTTCCTTTCTTTATGTAATATTTATTCTTTATGATTTGGCAATGATTACTTCCAATTCACAACAATTGAGTATATTTGTTGTATTATCAAAATTGCATGTTTATAAGTTTACGTTTCGGGATATTTACTCCCATCTTTAGAACCATAATTCCAATGATCTTGTGGATACATGTCTAAATTTTTTTTTAAAAATATAGTGCATGTTACGATAGATATCAGAATTGGGTTGTTACAATAAATTTGTAATTACCTTAAATCTAATATGCTCCATCGTCAGTTTCTGTTTCATGTTACAATAAATGTAGGTATATAACATCTAGAGCAACATCTTACTTTTAGACTAATTATCAAATTGTCAATTAAACCGAATTTCTTGAAGAGATAAATAATCCCGATTCGATAGATATGAGTGGTCAATATTAGAAATGTTAGCACTCGATGGATGCTGAATTCGATGCTCTACGACTTTTATTCTTCAAGTCTTTTTCTTTTAGAGAACTTATTTCCAAGCTGAAGGTCCATTTGTAGTAATTAGTCTCAGTTTTTGACAAATTTTGGTAAAAATTAGCTTTCGCTAATCTTGCTTATCTATTATACAAAGTTAAAACTTTTCTCACATTTTCGCAATGAATTTCTTGTTTCGATCTTCAAATTATTGGTCTAATATTCTTTAAACCAGCCGCCATTTTTGAAAACAGTGGCTCTGGAATGGCAGACAAGGTTCATTGTACTTAGAATAACATACATTTTCGTAACTTAAATTCAAACCTTCTCCTGCGATCAGGTCACTCTTTGAGCCCTGGCCCCAGAGCTATGAGTATCAAATCGAGGATTCTAAAAGCTTAAAGAATTCTCGAAACAACATGGCCATTCAGTAAACGAAAAAAGAGCGGTCCTTTTATGAAATATTATGATTAAATCAAACTTTTTTTATTTTTATTTTCATGCCTTCATATTACACCTGTCATGAGTGTGAAATCAGCAGATTTGATAAAAATATTCTTTAAACCAGCGTAATGGTATGAGAGAGGCATGAGGAAGGATAGCATCTAGTGGTACCTCTTCCTGATCTTTGTTTGTTCTCGTAAATTAGGAAATGAGATCTCTCATCCAGCTCCTCTTCAGTCTCCTAATGGATATGTCAACGGTGGCCATGTCCGTTATGAGTCTGTTGTTGTTTCTTTGTAATTCAACGAGAATTTGTAAAATTTTGGACTGGAAGCATTGTAGGTTTTAAGTAGTGTATCCCAAAATCGGTCTTGATCTTGCACTTTGCAAGGCCGCCTAACTGTTGCAAGACCAAACAAGTATACTAAACAAGACTAGACAAGTATACTAAAATATTACAGTAAAATCTCTGTAGTAATAAGCTAATAAGTAACTTCGAGACTCTTGCGCAAGACCAAGACCATGATCAAGACTGATTTTGGAAGACCAAGACTCGTCTCGGTCTCGCATTTGGGCAACACTGTTTTTAAATGAATATTTTTTGCTGAATCTTGGGTTTAATTAGGTATTTGTATGTTTTTAGTTTTGATCTGATTTGCAATTTTGACTCGCATGTTTAAATTCCTTCGTTTATACTTTTTATAAAACATTTTTTTTTTACTTTTACTTCTTCATAATATTCTGGTTGAAGTAGTTAATGAAATAATCAATGGAATGAAATGAGTTAATGAAACCGCTCTTTATCTCCTAACTGATCACCTGTTTTCCCCACTTGTTATCCCCACTTATACGCCTTGCCCTCAGACAATGGACCGGTTCCCAAGATCGTGAGAGGATGAGATCCTCCCTGGCCGCCTCCACCCGGGCGGTCTCCTAAGAATTGCAGCAGCCGTTTCGAATGTTGAGTGGTCGTGGCGCCGGAGCAGGCACCTCCCAGATGTCCTGACCTTAGTTCGGCTCGGAAAGCTTTTCTCTTTCGGCCTCTTCGCCCAAATAAATTAGTTTCTATTTAGGGTTGTATATTTCCCTTTCTTCTTAGGGGTCGTCTTTCTGTTCGGCGATACTTCTTAAAGAAGGGATCTGAGTGGTCGGCTTCGCTAAATGGGGTATACTGGATGTTTCTAATGGAGAACCATAAACACTTTAGTCCTATTTTTATCTATGATAACAGACTGATAGTGTATTATCGGAATAGGCGTCGAGTTCATTTCCTAGTAACTCCTTGAACTAACTTGTATAAGAGATCAATTGAAACGCTATGATTGGAGACTAAATTTTCTTGGAGAAAAATAAAAAATCTGGTGCGTCCACTCTCACGACTTTCCTAACTATTTCGTATATTTATTTTTTTTAAATCTCTTCGAAGGTTGAAGCAGCAATGGCCCAGAGATCTTTTGTAATATCTTGGAGTTCTGACAATGACCAGATTCTCCACTCATGACATGTGTGTATAACTCTCTAGCTCTAACTCTACTGGCTTTTGCACCAGTAACGCGGTTGAGAGAGTAGCGCAGGGATCTCTTGGAGCCCTGCTTTCCTTCTATAGTTTGAGGGAAAAGCCTGGCTTTTCTACTTACTTTAGTAGTTACCTAACAATTTACTGATCTACAAGAAAATTCTGAAACCTATTTGGACCTACGGACTTGAACTTTGGGGGACAGCAAAATTCTCTAACATCAAACGCATCCAATCCTTTCAGTCCAAAATCCTAACATCATGACCTTAATATCCCATTTGTCCTCGACCTTCCTATCAGAACCTTATAAATCATCCGAGTCCCCTAGCACAATTCCTATCTAGTTCCAGTCATCCCTACAATCCTCCTCGAAGATTGAAGCAGCAGTGGCCCAGAGATCTTTTATAGTATATATCTTGGAGTTCTGGCAATGGCTAGATTCTCCACTCAAGACATGAGTGTATGTGGCTAAAACGCTCTCACTCAAACCACACTGGCTTTAGCACCAGTAACGCGGTTGAGAGAGTAGCGCTGGGATCTCTTGGAGCCCTGCTTTTTCTTCTATAGTTTGAGGGAGAAGCCGGGCTTGCGGGCTCCCTGCCTGATTGTATATATTTTATATAGGTGTTTATGACTGTGTTTTTATGTTATTTTATTTTTTATTGTACATAGTTTTTATTATTATTTAACTTTTGTTAATTTTATATTTTCCGTCAGATTATTATATTTATAAATAAATAAATTTTAAAAAAATAGGGTTAATAGTGGTAAAACTATTTGCATTATAAGCCCACGTTTCGACCCGACTTTGTCGGTCTTCTTCAGGGACTTGTGTTCAGCTAGGAGTTTCACTTAAAACTGAGAGTTTTAAATAAAACAAATAGAGTTTTAAATAAAAAGTATTAGTTAAATTAAAAATTTGTTGGATTTAGAGGGCTCTGATACTTATAGATCCCTCGAAACATTGGAAATTTGACTGTTTCTTGGTCTACGGTTGTGCAAGGAGGTGATCTGACCGAGATTAAGCTCAACCGCCAGGTTTTCCCCCTTAATTAATTATTTTAATTAAGAATACTCACTTTCTAGAGGCTGAGTGTGCCCCAGGATGGTCTACCTTCACAGGGTCGTCTCAAGGCCAATGAAACAAAATAAATAATTTTTCTGCCATGAGTCGAGATTCGAACCTGGGACCTTCAGCATTGGAAGCTTAGTACGCTACAATTGGGCTACCCCACTCCCCTAAGTTTTTTTTAAATGATAATTATTCTGAAAGTGGTGTTCAAGTGGTTCTTGAAGGCAATTAGGAATTATATATATATATATATATATATATATATATATATATATATATATATATTATAATTTAAACATGGAAAGAAATATGACCGTTTAAGTATTTAGTTTTATGAGTAAAACAAATTATTTTTTCTATTTTGGAGGGCATCAGTCCGAAAATCCCTCCCTCCTGTAGATCACTCCACCAATGGCTACTGTCAGTTATTCTATACTTAGTTGAAATTTATAGTATGTCTTGGCAGTTCAGGTAATTTAAAGATGTCTTCAGATAACAAAAGCCTTGTTTTGTCCATCCTAGTTCTCCGAAATGGGATCTTTACGAACCTCAGGTCAAAAGAAACCTGACTGAAACCACTAATTTTGTAATTTGATAAGTTCTAATATTTTTTTTTCTATTTTTCTCCTAAAATTCTATTTTATTGAACCACAATAAAGTGGTATAGCTCTCTTTAGTTGTTGGCCGCGCTTAAGTGCTTACAACAATGGAATGTTCCAAGAATGGTAGAAGATAAATTCCTTATGGTATTCAAAATACAAAGGAGTGGGCTAGATATGGGCTTTTTTAAGCTCTAATTCCATCGATGGATTCCAGCGGCAGGTTAGCATTCAAAATCAAGTAATTTAATAAGTCCAATTACTGTTTATTTCTCCTTTAACGTAGCTTTTTTTAAAAAAAAAAACTTGAATAAATAAAAGTTGTACTTTACTATAAACCTAGAACTTTATTAGAAAAAAGTTTCTGAGAACGTCAGTTTTGAAAGAAATTCACACAGAAACTGTTAAAATGGAATTACCTTTTTAAGAAGTTTCGTAAAAGTTTTAATCCTTGTTCAATTCAATCAGTGGTATCCATCGATGAATTTAAGAACGGTTTACGGATTCCCGGTGCCATAGATGTACACAACGCCCAGTTTAGGAAATTATCGCACATATCGTAGCTCATAGTTCAAGGTACAGGCTTCTTTTTATCGAATTCTTAACATCCGCCTAAAACTTCATAAATAGTTTCATCTCATCGTAACGTTCTAATATTTTATTTACGAAAACTCTTGGAATTGGGCCGTTTTCAATCTTGAGGGGTACAAACATTGTCTATTTAATGAGATACTAAAAACTCGTAAATACACATTTGCTTTCTACTTGGATCGTAAGATAATTTTATCACAAAATCGAGAAAAAGGTGACCTTTAAAAATATTGAGCTGTTTGGCGTGACCTACACCCCCAAAATTAAAAAAAAAAAATAGTTTATATAGGACAAACGGCGCAATATTTTTGTAGGTCGCCTTTTTTATTTATTTTCTCATCAAATTATCTTACGATCCAAGTAGAAAGCAAATGTGTATTTACGAGTTTTGAGAACCTTCATAGTTTGCTCCCCTTCAGATTGAAAACGCCCAATTCCAAGAGTTCTCGTAAATATAATTTTTTTTTTTTTAATTTTTAACTTATTTATTGAAAAATATTACAATCTGTCTCTAGGACATTTATAATAGAGTTCACAGATCACATTCACACTCTATGTACAATAAATAAAATAAATTATACAGAAAAATAATATATATACAATAAATAAGAATAAAATAACCTAAAAATAAATAAATAAAAAGAACACATACACACCTATATACAATATTTACAATTTGGCGAGAGAACTCCAAACCAGACTAGTGCCTCCAACTGTGGAGGGAAAAGTATGACTCCAGGAGTTCCCTGCACTCCTCTTTCTCAACTGCGTCACTAGGGCCAAAACCCAGTGGAGAATGAGCAAGAGTGCTTTAGCATAATAGTTGTAGGTTACAATGAGATGAAACTATTTACACAGTTTCAGACGGTTGTTAATAATTCGATGAACCATGGACTATTACTTGGGGTGGGTGCCAATGAAGTCTTACTAAACGAACTGCTGTTTTATTAATGATTTATTTTATTTATAATTATATATAATATAATGGACGGATTATTATTGACAGTGTAGTTAGGCGAGATGTATTATTATTATGTATAGTATAGAAGGAGCGAGAGGAAGTTGTGTGCCTGGAATAATGAGACGGTTGTTGCTCTGGCATCCTGTCGATCGTTGGCCCGCGCAGGAGTGCAGAACGGGCATTGCTGTGGCATTACGCTCCGGCACGCTCTCTATGTTGTGTTTAAGCTAGCAAGTACCAGGAATGGCATGAACATCAAGTAGTTAGAGGATAGTATGTAACTTAACTTGACAACTTGGCGGGCATAATATACGCTAAAGGAAGGAGGTGGTCCGGGGTGGCGGTCATAAATAGGCTAAATAGTGGCAAAACTATTTTTATTAAAAGCCAACGTTTCGACCCGACTTTGCAAGTCTTCTTCAGGGCTAGAACGGGCAAGATACAAAAATACAAAAAGATAGAGAATTGTGGAAGTTACATAATTATTTTTTTTATTGAATAATAATACAATCAGCCACTGTTGGAGGGCTATAAGTATTAAGGCTAGAAGTTCTCATTCATACAGTATATACAAGTAATACAGAAGTAACTATAAATATTAGAAGTAAATAAATAATACTTATAAAAAAAAAAGTATCTCAATAGGAAAAAAAAAAATAAATAAAAAAATAAATAAACCAACAAAATAAAATAACAACAACAAAATAAAATAACAACTACAAAATAAAATAACAACAAAGTAAAATATCAACTACAAAATAAAATAACAACTACAAAGTAAAATAACAACAAAATAAAATAACAACTACAAAATAAAATAACAACCAAAATAAAATAACAACTAAAATAAAATAACAACTACATAATATTTAGACAAGAAATTATAAACAATGTGAATAAGTTTATATAAATTATAAACAGTAAGTGCATTAAAATATAAACAGAGAGATGATTCCAAAATTCTCTATCTTTTTGTATCTTGTCCGTTCTAGCCCTGAAGAAGACCTGCAAAGTTGGGTCGAAACGTTGGCCTTTAATAAAAATAGTTTTACCATTATTTAGCCTATTTATGACCGCCTCCCCGGACCATCTCCTTCCTTTATTATGCAACGGTCAACTATTAAATATTCAATAATATACGCTACCTTGGAAGAAGAGTGTCCCAGTATGATAAAGTGAAGTTTTTTAAGAGAAGCGTTTAAATAATTTCAGGCTTATCTCTGCCTCTAACTCATTTTAAAACATCAAATCTCAAATTGTCTCAATCAACCTTTTCCCTCTTTAAAAAGAAACTTAATTTTCGTTTTTTGATCATTTGAATATGAAATCTTTCTCTTTATCACTCTCTCTCTCTCTCTCTCTCTCTATATATATATATATATATATATATATATATATATATATATTTACAACTTTTCCTTAATCGACCTTTGAGTATTAAATTTAAACTTAACTATTTAATTGGGAATAAGGTCATTTAATTATTATTTAATAAACTTTTGAATGTTCATTTCTTCTGTTTATTGACGTTTCGATCCCGGTATTTTCTTTTTATTAGTCAACGATCGGATCCTCTTCAAAGCTAGAATTTTAAAAAACAGAGCTTCGATCAGTCCAGGGACACACCGACAGTCTCAGCACCGTCCACTAGCACATATATTAAGCTACTGATATTATCCAGCATATGTTAAGCACATATATTAAGAGTAGCTTAATATGTGTGCTAGTGGACGGTGCTGAGACTGTCGGTGTGTCCCTGGACTGATCGAAGCTCTGTTTTTTAAAATTCTAGCTTTGAAGAGGATCCCATGGTTGGCTAATAAAAAGAAAATACCGGGATCGAAACGTCAATAAACAGAACAAATGAACATTCAATAGTTTATTAAATAATAATTAAATGACCTTATTCCCAATAAATAGTTAAGTTTAAATTTATATATATATATATATATATATATATATATATATATATATATATATATATATATATATATACACAAAAGAAGAAGAAAATTTCCTCTGAAGGTGTGTCCACAAAAGCTTTGTTTAGGAGATATTCACACCTAATGTTTTTGTAGTTATGAATTATGAAGTAAATAAAATCTATTTATCTGTTCTAACTACTTTATTAATTAAATTGAAACATTAACATCCATATTAAATGTTGTTCAAAGTGATTTCCTTGAGCATTAAGAGATGCTCGACATCTTTCTTCAACAGCATCAGTGACTGTTTTGTTATTTTGTTATTTGTTATTGCTTCACAAGATTCAATTATCCTTCTCTGTAAGGAATTAAGGCCATTTACCGGACTTGCTCAATCATATCCCATATCCCAATCAATGGATTGGCCGTACAGGACCAGTGGCTTGTCCTGCACGCATTCCAGACCTGACACCACTGGATTTTTTTGTTTGGCGTGACATTAAACAATAGGTCTATGCAAGATATGACAATATAAAAAAAAAAAAAAATTATGACAATCTTTTAAAAAATAAGATGAGATAAGGAAATGATCCCTCTTCATAAAAATAAAGAAAAATTGTTGGGAGAGTAAATGTAATTAATATATCTCAGATAAAAAGCATCTTCTTTAGGACTGACTTATGAAGAAATTTAAATATTTTCTTTTCCTTCAGGAGGGAAAAATAGTAACCTCCCGAAACATCAGAAAATAAATGAAGAAAAAGGGCATTTTTTTGCGAATAATTAAAATAATATATATGTTTTTGTTGATTGAACTCATTGCCGTCGGAAATATAATTAAATCTTCTCGTAAGAATGAAAGGGTGCTCATGAATGAAACATAAAATGCTAGGATATCTTACTACATGTAATAATTATCTTTGAATTTCACGTATAAATTAAAATTTCACTAATAGAAACATAAGTCGCTGTAAAAGACTCGCTTACCTGCTAGGTCTTAGCTAAGCCATCTGGTCGACTTTTCCTATTTTCTTAATTTATTTTAGTTTACATATTTTATTCATTCATATAGATGAATTGTTATTGATTTTCATTTTATTTTTGTTCTTCGAATACGATATTCTCGCCCTCTCTCTATTTTTATTGGGATGTCCATCGTCCCTCCCCTCACACCATTCGAAGTCTGCGTCTATCGTTTTCTCATTTTTTCGCCAATATATTTTGGGAATTATTCATACGGACCAACCAGTAACAGAATAATGTTCTTTTGATATGATAACTATCGCCTCGTCTCGATGTAATTGGCCAACGATGACTGAGAGATCTTGGCCAGCCCGAACACCACCTGGGGATGTCGAGCCGTACATTCATATCAGCTATGTTGTTAGTATTCCTCTGGGTTCGCAATGCTTTGGCTGCTTGTGTTTAACTTGACTGCTAATAGGGCTTGTGTTTAGTATTCGCTGAACTATTGTTAGTCTTTGAATAGAGTTGTGTTTTTTAAACTCAATTAATCGTATTTCTTTTGAAGTGAAAACTTCTTTAGGCTCGTTTTGTACTTTTCTGCGGAAAGCGAATTTCATTGAGCCGTCAGATCTCCGGTGTGTAACGCTCGAGCAAAGTCGGTTGCAGTCGACTAATTGAAGTGTTTTTGCATATGAATTAAAATATCTCAAAAATTAAAAATCAGATCTGCATACTATAAACGAGAGAAATGTTCAGCATTTCTATTCTTTCTCTAATGGGCTATTATTCAAAATTTTATCTTAACGCAACCACGTGTTAGAGAGGCGAAAACGGAAAAATAGCTCCGAAAACCAAATGGCAACGAATTGTATTGAAGATTTGGTTTAAAAAGATCAGAAACTAAAAATCGGACCTGTAATATTGTAAAATATTATAAGCGAAGAAAATAGACAGCATGATCTATTATTTATAATTTATATTTCCTATATTAATACCCATTTACTTTTCACTCTTTTGGCCATTTGGCCAATATAACCTAGTTATTTTGAAATGTTGGGGGTGCAGGTCCAAAATTTTTATAGTTACCCGTTTTTCTTGATTTGGAATCACATTATCTTACGACTGAAGTGGAAAGCAAATGAGTATTTAGTACCTAATCAAATAGACAAAGTTTGAGATGCTGAAAGAAAAAAAAAATAGTTTCGAAAACCAAATGATAACGATTTTTACGGAAGATATGGATTAAAATATCTCAGAAACTAAAAATCTGTTCTGCATAGTGTAAGGGAGGAAAATGTTCAGCATTTCATCCTCTTTATAATTAGTTATTATTTATAATTTATATTTTATATTATTAATCTCCCATTGTTGATGTTTTCACTTCAATCTTGTTTTTTTTTTCTTTTAATACAAAATTCATTATATCTGTGTAAAGTTAAGCAGTTTTAAATAAAATCTAGTTTTTATTTTTATTGATCTTCTCTAACAAGCTATATTACCTTCCTCTAAAGTACCTTTAATTTTCTTTATCTGAAACAATTGACCCATTTCACATTAATATGTAATATAAAAGATAGTTAAATATAAAACATGGAAGAATTTGATAATTGACTAAAGGATGAACAAGAGATCGTAACGGAGAATAGTTGTAATTAGGGAACCAAAGGAATTCGAGCGAACCCGAGCTCACCCGAACTCGCCCGAATGATTAGAATACTTCTATACATAACATTAGCCTAACATAATACGCACTCTCATAATATTACAGAAATATACTTAAGCGGTTTTCATAAATGCGATTGTTGGTATTATTTAATATTTAATTTTATCGGTTACAGGGAAATAAATATTAAAATTTGGATATATAAGAGAATTTATACAAATAAAAATACCCACAATGAAATATAAATACATATAGCTTCTATAATTTTTACTTTTACTACCTCTTTGTCTGAAAATACTTAGTTCTGCTAAGAAGAGGGTAATAAATTAAAGTTGTGTGATGGAACGCAGTAGATTTTTCGTTTAAAAATTACAATAATTTATGGCAAATGGGATCACTGAGGCAATTTCCATGTCAATCTTCTTTGTTTGTTTTTCTGTACGACTTTTCATGTTTCTGATGTTTTGCAAATGTTTATGTCCGGCTCAAAGCATGTAATATGCAGCTGCAGAGGTCTGTTATTTAATGAAATCTGGATCTATTGTACCCCCGCTGTCAATTAGAAGACTACATTGGCCTCTAAACCCTCCCCATTACAATGAGATGTTCATCGGGGGAGGGGTAGAGATTGAGTGTCAT